AGAGAGAGAGAGAGAGAGAGAGAGAGAGAGAGAGAGAGAGAGAGAGAGAGAGAGAGAGAGAGAGAGAGAGAGAGAGAGAGAGAGAGAGAGAAAAGGGAAATGAGAATATTTTATTGTTTTTGTTTTCTGATATTTTCGTCCCTTTTCCTCCTGCTGCTTATTGGTTCTGAGCGGAGGAGGAAGAGGACTGAGGGACAAACACAAACAAAGAGAGACAAACATCAAAACTGTCGACCTCAAGGGAGCAGCAGCGCTCGCTAACGAGCTGCGACAGTTAGAGAGGAGGAGGAGGAGGAGGGAGGAAGGGAGCCAAAGGAGACAGAAAACAAGGAAAGGAAGCAAGAAGTTGCGGAAGGAAAGAAATAAAAACAAAAGTAAGCACAGGCATGTCTGTCTTATTTACTGAAACTTAAAGCCAAACATGAAACYACCCAAGAAAAATACAATTGTTTCAGAATTCTATCAGTAACGACAAAGCCTCTCCTGCACACAAATAAAGTTGCAAAGTTYATTTACAGTAAACCAAAACCAAACTGTCAAGCCCATCGAGCCACATATCACTCAACCTTTGACCTTTCACTTCATTTAAATAATACAGCTAGCCTAATCTGTTCATCATCTGTAAATGTTTGGTTTCACATTAAGCAAAATAATTTATTCTTTAAACCCTGTGTAAATACAGACAAATACAGCTGAGTTCTGACCTTCAGAAATTTTTATTTTATCGGTAACTCCTGTTTATCACTATCATCAAACTGTATAAGTAACCTGTCATTTTCATCACACCATGGGCTATCTGAATATATTTACATTTGGTTTTACATCTCATTTACGTAGCTGACGCACACACAAATGTACTGTATRTGTTTGGTTCAGTCAGACAGGTCAGTGATGCTCGGATGATGCGTTTTGAATGTTGTTAAACAGTTCAGTGTCATTTTAGTTCTGTGAAGCTGACTTCAGTTTACCACCTTCAGCAGCAACAGAAAGATAAAATCCAAAGCAACTCCGACTGACCTTCATCTTCATCGTTTGCCGTGACGGTGATGAGGACGAAGCCGACCTCCTTGTCTTCCTCCACGCTTACTTCGTACACCGGCTGGGCAAAAGCYGGGCCGTTGTCGTTGACATCGGTGACAAAGATCCTGACGTARGCCGTGTCTGAGCCAAGACAYAAACCCAATTCATTTATAYACAATACTGCAAACTTCTGCAGCTYTTACCTAACTTGAAACRTTAAGTATTTCAAGTAGTTTTCTTGTTCCAAAACATAAGGGACGTTTTGTTTACATTGTCATATTTCAACTGCATTTCTTAAAAAATGCCAAAATCTCCTGATAAATATCAGTTTTATCCACCTTAATTAGGAGGAGTGATAGTAAATGCGCTGTAAAGTTTGACATGAATTAACGAGATGCTTGTTTGATTACAACAGCAGGTGAAGTGCATTTTATTTAAATGGAAATGGCCTGTTTTACATAAAACATTTAGATTCTAATCATGACCTTTTATACATAATTAGGAACATTTCAAAGCAGGACCAGTCTGTAGCGTAGGCAGTATTGGCAAATGCTAAGGGTGTCCTCCTTCTAGGGGGTGCCATAAATGGGGGATGAGAAAAAAATATAGCATTTTATTAATGTATGTAAGTAAGTAAGTAAGTAAGTAAGTAAGTAAGTAAGTAAGTAAGAAGTAAGTAAGTAAGTAAGTAAGTAAGTAAGTAAGTAAGTAAGTAAGTAAGTAAGTAAGTAAGTAAGTAAGTAAAAGTAGTAAGTAAGTAAGTAAGTAAGTAAGTAAGTAAGTAAGTAAGTAAGTAAGTAAGTAAGTAAGTATGTAAAAGTAGTAAGT